TTGTAGTGTCGCTGCACGTGGTTATTTCATGAAGACCCAATTTTGGACAATTTTGTGTACAAAGTACTTGTCTTCTCGTTGCCACGATGCATGGGGGGATATTTTTCTAGGCGGCTCGCTGAAAGTTAGGGGTTAAGTCGATGTTGATAGTTGCTCAACTGGTATCGGTGATGAATCTGTGACTCGACACCGGGTGGGATCATGGGGTGGAATGGACGCTGCTCTTTGGGTGTGGGTTGCTCCGGCCTGCATGCGGTGCATTCGTTATGGCGGAACGCGTTCATACTGATGGAAACACCCCTAAAATGTTCAGCAGCAAGTGTTGAAGGTGCAGCGTGGTGTGGCGGCCACACCACGTTGCGCCTTCAGAATAATGCCACAGTGTGGCGTTATTCGTTGGCGACGCAGATGGCGATTTGCATACGGTTTTGATTTTCAGCTACCATTTCAATTTCCCTCTTTCCCTACCCCTGACCCGGACGTGCAAGCCAATCAGTGCTCGCGCTGTGTATAGCCCATCTGCTTCGCCTGCGATGACGATTTCCGCAACCTCAGAAGGTCGGGGTCGTAGACGACCGTAGCTGCCAAACAGTCTACATGCTGGCTCGCATTCACGCTTTCACTCGCCTCTAGAAAGACGCATCGTGTACTCTCTGACAAGGTGGCGTCATTTCCCTCCGACGACCATCACTGTCGCCGAGCCGATCGTGCAGTAGAGGGCACGGGAAGAAAACAGTTGAGAAGATGGATACGATGGATGTATGTACGTCTCATCCTGCAAAATGCTTGTCGAGTGGTCCGCGTACAGGAGCTAGCGCACGATCTCGACCAGGCTTTTTACGAGTGGGGCTCACCACGAAGGGATCATTCTGCACACCGCTCACAGCCACCGACCCAGCTCCAGTGCCAACTTCCACGCACTCTGCCGTAGCCCGAATTAGTCCTTGGGTTTGTCTGTGCTACGTTTGCTTCTATGCCAGTATGTCTAAGCGATGCCTCGGCGTTGTAACGCATAGTCGTCGAGGAATAGGGGTACCGTGACGCGTCGGTGGCACCTCGTCGACCCACCTGCGCGTCACAGTACACAGCGACAAGTACCAAAGTGTATTCAAAACGAATCGGCACACTATTATCGATACAATTCACGCTAATTCCTTTCCAGACACCGATAGTACCGAGCACAAAAATGTGCAGTTAGACGTTGTAAAAAGCAGGGTGCGTCATGACGCTCTGGATGACCTTGTTGAGGACGTCGCTGTGCTCGTGGGCGATCGCAATGCCGCGCAACAAGAGCGCGCGTTGCAGATACTGCTCGAACGAGAGATTCTGGTTCCTCAGGTTTGCATACGTCTGCACATGGTGGTGGTACCCCGCCGGGTAGATGCCTTCGACGTAGCCGGTGACCGACTCGAACGACGCGCGGGGCTGGAGGTAGTTGACGCTGCGAAGCAAGCACGAATGGGCCGATATCCGGCGAATCTCATTCCTACATAGCTCACTGTGGCCTTTGACTCGCAAGAAATCCGTCATCGTACCACTCGAGGTACTCGTCCGGGTCCAAAACGTCGGGGTACGTGTCGTCGATCGTGACGGAGCGATACGCGACGAGGATGCGGTCGTTGTTGTCGTTGAAGCGCGCATGGCAAATCTTGAGGCTCGTGCCTTTCGAGTTGCCCGTCTCGTCGACGCTGTAGCTGAGCCGACGGTTCCCATCCTGCGCTTGATGGAGGACCTAACCAGTGGCATGAGTCTCGTGTCAGCACCTTCCACAATCGACCCGAATGTTGGCCGTGTGGACACCGGGGAAAAGCTCGCCGGTCGACGCGCAGTTGACAGCCCAGAGCGCAGCGGCGACGATTTGCGGACTTGCTTGCACAACTTTTTGAAGCACGATCTTGCGCCCGCGGTGGCCCCACTCGACCTTGACCGAGTCTTCGTACGCGTGGGGAAACACGGACGGTGCGAGATGTCTGCTCGCACTGTGGTAAAGCTGCTTTTGAATCCACTCCAAGCCCAGCTGACGCATCTCGATGTCTTGCAGGAGTGTCACGCTGGTGACACCATTGGTCGTGAGGCTCGTGGTCTACTAGCATCATTCGTGACGTCAAGAAGGCAATAACAATAGACGTGCGTACGGTCGGTGCGGACATGGTGCTCATCCAGTGCTGCAAGCGCGTCGCAAACAAGCGGGTTTGGCGGACGCGGTGCTGGAGGTTGCGGTTGTCGTTGTCGGCGGCCTCACGCGCGTCCCGGAGCGCGGCTGCCACCTCTTCCCACGGCAGCATTGTCCCTCGAAGGGCGTAGAATCGAGAGGTGAGCGCCACGTAGGCGTCTTGCAGCGCCGCGCGCTCTGCGAGGTACGCGACGCGGACTTGCCGCTTCATAAGACGATCGTGGGCGCGCTGACGCTCGAGCGCTGCTTTACTGGACGTTTTGGGTCGTGTCATGGCACTTGATCACTTGTAGCACGAAGGCGCAAAAGGCAATCTGACCGGTCTCGCTACCGCCACAGGATTTGAAATACAGGCGTCGGTTTACGTAGCATGGGGAATGTAATGTTGGCTCGTCGGGTGTGAGATTGGCAGTGCGGTGGTCTTTCAAGCCCGGACATGCAACTCTTGTTTCCTCGGCATGACAGGTGGCGCGCTGCAGTGCGGTACAACACACTGGCACGTCACGCGCCTGGAATCAACTCGGGCAAGAGAACAGTAATCCAAAAGTGGACCAGACGTTCAAGACAGCTATGGCAAAAACGCGTGCTGGTGTGTCATTATTGTAAACCGCTGGCTTGGTTCGTCGCGTGTTGACGCGGCGGGGGACGACGACGTCCTTGGCCGCTCGGCGGCAGGACAGGCGTGTCGGTGTAAAATAACGTAAAATAACGAGAACACTCAGTTCAACAGGCGTGTCGGTGTGAATGGCACGAGGCGACTGACCAACGCTCGACCGTTTGACGCGAAATAAATTGATAACGCTTTGCTAGACTATTCAATTATATCATGACCAGCGTATTTGTAATCACGTTCAACGTACCATAGCTGGTTGGCGGCGTCGCTACCACTGCGGACTGGGCAAACAAGCTCACAGTTGCCGCACAAAAAGATCACATGTCGAAATGAAAGGAGAGACAGCGTGGACGGTGAAGCTGGACCTCGCACATTACCCCTACACCATTGCTCGTATATGCGCTGCACTACGATCGTACCGCGTCGTGTCGACGCGCAGCTGCGTTCGACTCACCAGGTGCCATGAGAGTTGGCATGAACTTGAGTGAGAGACTTGATGATGATTGGCGAGAGACCTGAAGAAGATCGCTTCTTTCAATTGGCGTTTCAATGCACCCTCGACGTTTTTGGAACAATCAGTGTTCTGCAGCTGGTTCTGTAGGGCCAGGGTCGACGACAGTGCCCTTGGGATCGCCGGCCTCATAAATGACCCTAAGCGCATTGTGTGTCAACTTGCGCCTCAAGGCCCTTGAGGCGCAAGAAGCAGTGTCGCACGGGAACCGAGTGCCCTTGAGTCAAGGGCACTCGGTTCCCGTGCGACACTGCTTCTCACATCATATGTGCCTTGGACAACTGGCCTGGACACTGACCTCCTGCTGTTTACCGATCAATCAATTGAGCTTGATATTTTGAAAAATCGCCCTGTAGTTCCCTTTCATGGCATCTCGCTGTCACTTAGAGTAGTATTTGATGGTATCTTGGAATGGGACATGACGTGGTCGTGTCCTGAAGCGAGTCGTTCTTGGATTAGTGTACTCGGGCGCGCTTAACAAGCGTTCTATCGCTCGGTAGCGGCGAGTCTTTTCTTCGCATCAACCCATGTACGCCTCCTCCCACTGCTGACACCAGTACGACACGGACGTCCATCAGTAGCGCAATAATGCAATATTTTATACACGACGCCAATCCGTGTAGGTACAAAGGCCCCCACGAGTAGTAGGTTCTTGAGCACAAATCGCCTACGCGACGTATACCATGTCTTTATATTCAAAACCGACGTCATCGCCAAGTCATTTCGCTCGCTCGTTAATTCCTCACGCTTCAAAGCTTGGTGATCGAACGTACATAGACTGGGGCACCATGGGATGCAACATTTTGTTTGGAAAACGCAGAACCATCCAGTGCAGGGTAAAAGAAACTGCTCGCTTCCTTCGTCCGTATATGCCGTATAAATCGACCACCATTGTTGTTGTTCTTGACATCCATTAGGAAATGCCGTCGCCAGTGGGTTGCGAGAACCGACGGTTCCTATTACATGATTAGACAATGCAAACGGCACTTGCATGGTCAAGAGGGCGAAAGGTCCGCGCCAAGATGCTGGTCGGCCGAGTCGGACATGCTCTTTCTTTTCTCGTCTGCGCGCAATGGGTGTTTTGCCTCGTTGTCGATTGCACTTAAAGACGAGTCTCTCAACATACTCAATAAGACGAATGATGTGCAGGACACAGTGACGCCGCTGCTTTGCAATTCATGTACTGCTCGAGCGACGACGCGTCGGCGAGCTGCGTCGCATGCTCGGCAACGCCGCGGTGGTAGAGTTCGGGGTACAGAGCCTCGACATAATCAAGCACGGAGGTAAACGGCTGCCGCGGCTCGAGATAGTAGACGGTGCGGACCAAGCACGAGTTGGTGGTGATGCGCCGGATTGCATTCCTCGTCATTTAGAGTAGTGGGCGCAACCGTCCCCAAATCATATCTCAAACCATTCTTGGTATTCGTCCGGGTTGAGGGGGCCAGGGTGGGCTTCGTCACTCGATATGGTGCGGTATGCAATGGTGATGCGGTCGCCATCTTTGAACCGCTTGTGGAAGACCTTGACACAGAGGTCGCGCATTTCACCAAAGGCCTCCATGACATATGGCTCCGGCTGCAGTGCTCCGATAACGCATCTCTTTGTGCAGCACCTAGAAAGGACACGCGTTTCAACTTCTAAACGGTCCAAGTCAGGTACCTCCATTCTACCGCACTCAAAGTCCGGGACCGGGAAGGCGTCGGTCGCCACGGCACGATGGACTGCCCATAGCGCCTTGGCGACGACCTCTTGGCTGGCCTGGATCACTTTTGCAACATGAGCTTGCGCCCACGGACGCCCCACTCGACCTTGATCGAGTTTTTGTGCAGATACGCAAAGAGGCGCGGGCTCAGCTGCACCATGGTAGAACTGTTTGGAAATCCAGTCGTAGCCAAGTCGGCGCGTCGACGGCTCGGCAATCAGCGTCACATCGAGCCCCACGCCGCGCGACAAATACCCGGGCAGTCCCTACATGGTTTGTGAGCAAAGCGAAAATGAAGACCGACTGGCTGGCTATCGTTTTGTGTTAACGGGACTGATAGTTGACCTGTAGGAATCCAGGAATTCCATGCTTCAGACACCTGTTCGCTTCGTTGGGACGCCTTGATGGACACAAGCATCTCGTCATGATAGAGTAGCACTCGAGGCCACGACGCTGAAGAATGGCTTGCTCGATTCGGAACGAAATATCGGCTGGCTTTGCACGACGGGATTAGCACCCTATTTTTTGGACGTCCCATTTTATGAAATCTCTTGGCAGTCCACTTCACCGAAATAGTTTTACGATGCGCACCATTAGGTGTGCCAGCTTGTGCCATTGGACAGCGTCAAATCGAGCGCAGGGACATCAAATCCTAGTGTTCCTCGCACACGAGGGCGTACCACCATGTGCCGTACATCGACCGAGCTCTCTGACGGGTTCTCGTTGCGGCAAGTGTTGCGGCCATACCTTGAGCTCCCTCCTACGGCAAGTATCTATCACAAATTTGATTAACCGAAATAGGACTTATATATTTATGGGTGTGAAGTAATCCTTAGGCGCTGGTCTCCGAACGTCGACTTCGACTAACGTTAGTACGTGTTTAGTCGCGTGTGTAGTCGAGTATCCCACACACGAGCTCGTCCACGACACTTTTATACAGTATCGTCGTTTTCCCCCGCTCTCTACTTGTTGTAGTCGTAGTTTGAATGAAAAACAGGCCGAGTACCCTCAAGCTAGGTGAATACCCACAAGGTAAACCGTCGCACATGTGTCATGTTTAATAGTTTGACAAGAACGAGAAATAACACTCTACCAGTATATGTCTGTGTTTTGTGTTTGATTTTTGTTTGAAACACCTCGGCTTTGCCGCTTTACTTGGGCGAATACGGGGTCCGAAGGATCGATCCCACGGCCGCATGGTAGCCCTTGCGTCGTCGCATTCCTCGCTCCCATATTAGTACCAAATCTTGGTCGTTTCAACTGCGATGTCATTTTTAGCTTTTCATTTCCATGGGGTCGGGGCCGTCGTCCGAGAACCAAAAGGCCATCGTGCGCTATGCCAAGCGCGACTGCAGCGGCAGCGTCGACTATACCAACGTCATCTCGACCATGTCGGATGGAAGCGTGCTCAGCGCGTGCACGGCGGGGTACTACACGGGCAAAATCACGCCGCCGCCCTCCCAGTACGCGCCCGACACGATTTACGCGACCATCTCGATCCCCGACATGGGCTCCACGGAAGAGGTCGTTGACGGCCTCTGCGTCGCCGTGTCGCCGTCGGCCGACATTTACCTCAAGGCATCCTGCGCCGCGCAAGACTTTGCCTACTACGGCGACGCCAACTGCACCGACGTCCTCGCGCTGGATGCAACGGCGGTGAGCATCATCTGTGAGACGCCCAACCCCATCTCGTGGCCGGCCACCTCGACGCTCATCGGGCAGACGTACGCGCACGCCAACTGCTCGGGCGAGACACTGTACGCAGTCAATATGGGCAGCGGCGGCATCCCATACGACGTCGTCTTGCCGCACCGGGCGTCGAACGGACGATGCACCGACGGCCTCATCTACAACACGACCGTGTACCTCGAGACTTTTGGCATCAACGCGACGTACATGACGATCTCGCGGTCCTACATGACCGAAGTCGCACGGGACCAAACCTGCGTCTTTACGGGCGACAAGTACCTCCAAGCATCGTGTGCGAATGCGACGTTCGCCTACTACAGCGACAGCGCGTGTTCGGACCTCGTCGACGTCCTTGAAGTGGGTGCTGTCTCGACCAAGTGCGGTATTGTCTTCAACAACGTCACCGTGCTCAAGACGACGTCACTTGTCATCACGTCTGGCGGCTCGGGCGGCGCGATAGCGCTTATGCTCTTTTGCGTCCTCGTTGGCGGCCTTATTCTGGGCTATCTCGCATCGCACCGGGACCAAATCATGGCGGCCGACCCGATGAAGAAGCAGCTCAAGGCCAGTAAAGTGAGCAAGTCGGAAGAGGATAGCGGTGCCGCCGACGATGATGTCTAGATATCCTTAAGATGCCACGTTTCTTTCAACTCTAGCATGTTGGTTGGCACTGCGAGCGGGCAAAGATGATGCGCGCAGAGATGGATTAGGGCTAGGGTAGGAACGTAGTGGTTAAATTCGCGGCTAAGTATAGCCAAGGGTCGTACAAACGCAGAAAAGCCGGCAAGATGAGTGTCGTGCGGTTCGACCACGCCGATTGTTCGGGCGCGGTTCTCTATGTGAGCAGTGCCAACCCGTGGGCGCTCTCAACCAACTGCACCGACGGGCTGGTGGCCAATGCGTCGTCGACGCTCGACCGCTACTTGCCCAATTTGCAGTACATGACAGTGCGCCACTCGGACGCAACCGTCGAGGTCGTCGTTAGTGGGCTCTGCGTCGGCACGGCGCCGGCGTCTAGTCCCCGCTACGTCTACGCCGACTGCCACAACAGCAAGTTTGCCGCCTTCATCGACAGCAACTGCACCATTCCCACAGCCATCCACAGCGCTGTCCACATAGCGTGTGACGTTCCGTACCGCGTCGCCGCGCCGTTGGAATCGGTTGTCGATTTGAGTGCTGCGCTCTACGAAAACCCCGACTGTACTGGCGCCGTGGTGTGGTCCACGACCAACAGCTCGAGCGCCGGCGCCGCCGAAGCGTGCTTGAACGGGTTTCTCGCAAGCCCGTCGGACCACCACCTTCTCTATCAAGGGCATCAGCGCTACATGACGCTGCTGCAGTGGACCAATACGGAGATGCACGTCCTCGACGGACTCTGCGCCCCGATTTCAACGACGGTGACGACCCCGTACCTCCGCGTTGACTGTGAGAGTCTCTCGTTTGGCTACTATTTCGATGGCAACTGCACGACACCGATGAGCAATGCGTGGACTGCGGCGACGACGACCTCTGCCATCGCTTGCTGGTACGAGTCGAGCGTTGTGAACAACCCGGACGCAGCTCTCGTCCTCTACATGACGCCCGACTGCTCCGATGGTATTGTGTACTCGACGTCGATGGTATGGGAGGCAGGCAACGGCACCACCCCCTCGACATCTGTGGCGCCGGGTGTCTGTGCTACTGGGTTTGCCGCCGACGTCTCAGTGGCCACCGACGCGTACTTGCCGAACGTGCTATACATGACAATCGACCACGCAGAGGCAGCGTTTGCCGAAGTTGTGGTCGATAGCGTCTGCATCCCGACGTCGAGTAGCGAGTCAACCTATCTGCTGGCAGATTGTTTGACGGGACAATTCAGCTACTTTTCCGACGATGCGTGCGTCCACGCCATCCATACGGGCGCCGAGAAAGGCCACCGTGGTCTGCTCGGTACTTCACCCAACCTCTGGCGTCTGGCCGACGTTTATCCATACGCTACAAGTCTTTGGCGGCCTCTCGATCGACTGCAATGAAAGCGCTAGTGTCACCTATGCCATGGCCAACAGCCCGGACGGCCTCCAGCTGGACATCCCCGTCTCGAGTGCCACCGGCGCCTTGTGTGATGACGGCACCTTGACCAACGACGTGCTATCATCGACACAGTTTGTAGTCAACGAAACCTACATGGTGCTCCAGCACGCAACGTTTACCGAAGCCGTGCTCGACCTTCTCTGTGTGCCTGTGCCCAGCGGGTTCCTCTACGTCGACTGCAGCAACGACGAAAGCCATGGCTATTTTGGCGATCTCGGCTGCAACATTCCGCTGTCGATGACGCCCGAGCTCGCCCTAGATCTCGCGACAACGAATGTGACGTGTGGTGTCTTGAACGCGGCAGTGACACCGACCCCGCCGGCAAGCGCTGGCAACCGTACGACGACAACAAGCGCCGGTGTACCGCCACCGACGCCGACACCGACGTCCAACACCCGCGCTATCGCATCATCAGCCGACACGACCGGAACTCACGGCGCCGCAATGTTCGCGGGCATTGCGGTTGGCGTGTTTTGCGTCGCGACGGTGCTCGGTGGCGCCGTCTACATGCAGCAAAAGCGCAAGCAACGGCTGCACAGTGTCTTGCACGACGTCAAGCCCGCGGCGGCCACCGAAAGCAGTATCTAAGGTACTTGCACGTTGCGGTCCACGCGGTTTCTATCACAGCATCTCGTCACGTAATATATAAATCTATACGCAAAGGCGCCTTAGCTTCAATCGCTCACCCCTTGTCCGTATCAGTTGGACCGCCTGTGTCGGATTTTCAGCCGATCCAAACACATCTGGTTCGCGATTGGCTTAAATATTCGAGATCTGTCGTTGGATTGGGTAGAACGGTATCTTGTGTAGTACGTGTGTTCTATTTTGATGGTGGTTTCTGCTGTACAACATACTCGTTCTCAGCACAACGACCCTTCCAAGCGCTAACAGCCATGGCTCGGATCCATGCTATCGAAGGTGCGCCAGCGCACGGCCCGATGTTCCAGCGTCATCGGTGGGTGACCCAGATCGCAGGACTTCTCTACATGTATGCATCCCTCGCCGCGGGGCTCTACTACGTGTACGTGCTCACGCCAACGTTTGGAAACGACTTGTGGTGGGCCAGCTACAATGTGAGCAGCCACCAGTCCTTCCTCATCGACGTCGTCAACCGTGCCCTCGCCACAACAAGCAACGGCAGCCTCGACCTTTTCGCCCCTTCCAGTGCCATGCGCAAGAGTTACACGTCGCCCGTACCGACCACGTCCCTTCACCCAACCTATCCGTGGCGCATCATCCTCAGCGAGTTTGTGACCATCGAGTACGCTGTGACAAACCTCCGGACCATCTCGGCATCGTGGAGCATGCGCATGATGACGCAATACTGCTGGGTCGATTTTGCGAAGCGGTGGGAGGTCGCGCACACGGCCAAGCGCGTCTCTCGGTGCCATGCGCACTACACTAAGAACGGTGCCGCGTACCTCGAGACGGTCCTTCGCAATGTCGTCTGGGACGATTTCCTCGCAACGTGGGGCGGCCCCGGGAACGAGTTCACGGTTGCGGTGCAAGAGGCCTTGCTCGCGACGAGTGCGGGTGTCGCATGGCTTGATACGACGGCCATGGCGCGCGACACGACGTCGATCGATGACGAAATGGCCTTCTGGCGGCAGCACCACGTCACGTACTTTCAACTGCAGTGGGCCAACCGGCGCGGGCCGGGTATCACGGAGTCGATGGTCCTTACCAACGCGCTGGGCCTCGAGCAAGTCGTGGCGCTCAAGAACATGGACATGCCCACGGGTCCGTGGTCGTCGCAGATCATGTACTGGCGCTTCATCAACGATCTTTTTGTGCTCCAAACGCACAACCGGAGCTTGGTGCGGCAGTCGCCCAATCATTTCGCGCGCAATTTCTCGAACATGCCTGCATTGGACTTGGAAGTCTACCAAGGGTTATGTACCACGGCCGAGGGCTGCGTCGGCGCCGTCAACCTCCTGCACACCGAGCTCGGGCCGTTCTTGAGCGTCGATACGTTTTACATGGGCGTGCCACGCGCCTTGAGCGATGCGTACGCCGCCTACACAGCGGTGTTGCAGCCGATGCTCGTCCAAAACCAGAGCTTTCGCGCCCTCTACGATGTGTTGCCCGAGATCGTCGTCGCGCCGACACCGCCGTCGTGGCGTCAACCGAACTGGACCTTCTTTGGCGGGAACCCCATGTGTGTTCGGCGCAAAGGCTCGACGTACGTGCAGCAGTCGTTCGACTTTGCCGACTCGTGCATTGGGACGCCGCCGCTGACCGTTTCTCTCTCCAAGGACGCGGTAGTATTCGCGTTCCTCGTACAACCATCGTTCGTGTCGATTCCGGAAATCTGTGCGTTGACCACGTCCATCATTGGGTGTATCGATGTGCTGACCAAAGCCAACACGATGGCTACGCTGCTACCGCCAATGCCAGACGCGGCAGCAGTCGACGCGGCCATGACGTTAGCGTCGGCGTCTTTTCTGCAGCTTGCGACCAATGCGTCGTCCAACTGGATGCTGCTATACCAACCGCTCCTTGACGCAGCGTCGCCGGCCTGGTCGTTCTATGGCCGTGTCTGCTTCTTCGAGTTCATCCGCGGCCAGCGCGAGGTCGTGTCGTTCCAAGGCGACGTCTCGAACGCGACGATCATGTCCAACGCGTACCCTGCCGTTGCGTATTCAACGGGCCAAGACGAAGCGTCGCTCAAGACGTCGACGCGTCTCGTCATCTATTTTGTGTTGTATACGAGTGCGATGCTGACAGGCGTCGTGGGCCTCGCATCGCTCTATGCCGTCTCGAGCCGATTGCACTTTGTCGGTGCGAACCTCTTGTACTTTAACCGGATCGTGGGCTCGGTCTGGCTCGGGCGCCCATTGCAGTGGCTTCGGGGCGTCACGGCGCTCTGCATGCTCAGCACGGCGCCCGTTGCCCTCGTCTCGGAGAATGGGTATACAAGATTGGTGCAGGAGCCGCGATCGCTCTTTATGAGTGCGGTCGTGACGGGCGAAGCCACATGGATCATCTACGTTGTCAACGACATTCTCTTGCTCGTTTTTTCACCCGACATGACGCGTTTGTTTGCGCCGCTGAGCAGTCTCGGCGTCTGGTTGGCCCTCTTAGCGATCGATGTCGGCGCACCGCTCTCGATGACGGCGACGCTCCACCGCACGTGCTATAGCACCGATATGGACTACTACCTCTACTGCGAGAGTGCTGCGATTGCCGTCGGCAGCCCGATGCGGCTGCTGCTCCTCGTTGTCGTCCAAGTCGTCGGCGTCCTTGCCGCCGTCGCCCTTGCGTGGATCTACGACCGATATTTCTTGCGACGCGGCGCCGAGCTTCGTGGGGGTCAGGGCCCCCCGTTGTCGGTGGCCGGCGTGTGCACCGTGTACACGACGCCGATCGTCGCCCATTCGTGGGCCATGGACAAGGTCGTTAGCGTCCTCTCCGGTATGATTCCGCTGCGCCTCGAATCCGAACACTACCTCTTCGACATCAAGTCGTGGAGCTGGATAGTCGACACGATCACGTACGAGCGGACACGGCCAATTGCGCCGTCACTGGCCCCCCGGACAGCAAGCCTTCCGGTGGAAGCGTCGCCCGAGGTCGAAGCCAAGCGGTCGCGTTCAAGCAGGCTCACTGTGCTCTTGGGCTTGACCTACATGGTGACCTCGATTTTCGGCAGTATATCGTACATTGCTGTGTCCGAGACCGACCTCGCCAATGACATTTGGTGGGCGCACTTTAACATCACAGGCGCGCACGTGTTTCTAGCCAACTGGTTCAACGGACAGCTCTACATGGGCGCGGAGCTCCCGAGCTTCAGCTTGGCGAGCCATAACCTTTCGCAACTGGGGTCGTTTGCGTCGTCGACCTCGGTGTTCGTGCTGTCGGCCGACAACTTTGGGTCGAACCTCCAACACACGCAGCTAAATACGCTACCGGCCGTCATTGCGGGTCTGCGGACCACGGACGCCTGCATCCATGCGCCCTGGATCTTTACGCAATACTGCTTTCTCGACTTTCAACAGACGTGGCCCATGGCCAACTCGGCGCGGCGCCAAGAACGCTGTGCCACGATGACGACCAACGGCGCCGTGTACCTCGAGAGCCTTCTTCGCAACGTCGCTTGGGCCGATTGGCAACCCTGCTGGGGCGCCGCGTTCCAGATTGCTTTCAGTAACGACCTCCAAACCTCTTTGGACGGCCAGCGCTGGCTCGCACAGATACAAGCGCCCAATTCTTTGTCCGTTGGGGACGAAGCCACCTACTGGCGCACGTTTGGTATCGCGACGTACGATGTTCAGTGGCAAAACTACAAGCAAATTGGGCTCCTCAGTTCGTACAGTGTCGAGTCGGCGTACGGACTCGTCTTCCCGCTCACGCTCCAGACCATTAACGGCTCGTACCGGTTCCAGTCGCAGACGTCGTTTAAAGGCTACTGGGCGCTCGCGAGTGACCTCGTGGCCGTGACGTCCAACAGCAGCGGTATCGGCGGCTTGTCTCTGCTTCGGTCCAGTCACCGCTACGCATTTGCCAACATCTCCATGACATCAGTGCTCACACTCAATACGACGCTCAGTGTGCCGATGGCCGGCAGCTTCACTCTCATCCAAGACCTTGTTGGCCCGTTTGGCTCGGTCGATATGTATTTTATTGGCGTCCCACGCGCGCTCAATCGTGATATCATCGACTTGGTCAACACGATCCGCGCTGCGTCCATCGCGTCGGACGCGTCCCAGCGTGCGTACGCCAACCTCATTGTGCCCGACTCGATGTACGTAACGCCTGGAATATGGCTCTACTCCAAGTGGATCTCGTTCGGGGGCTCGCCGTTCTGCGCGGACATTGGCCTCTCCTCTGGCATCGCCGTCACATCGGGTATGCTAAACCTGCTGTCGTCCAACAAGCCATGTTCGTTGTCGCGTGGACACGCGCGCAGTGGACCGACGATCGAGTTTTGGGTGGTGGCGGCCATTATGGCGTCGTTAACGCCAAGCAGCAACTTGACTGGCATCTGCGAACTCAATACTGCGTCAACGAGTCACTGCGTGCCCGACTTGGTCGCGACCGTCGATTTTGTGAGCACACATGTGCCGTCGATCTCGCATTCCTCGATCGCCGCGTCGACAGCGACGGTGCAGCAGCTGCACATTCAGCTGATCCAGTTTATGCGCCTCAACTTGTCGTCCTCCCTGTTTCTGGCTTCGTACGAGGTCCTGAAAACACCTGATGACTTTACGTTTGCCTCGTGGATTCTCTTGATGGAGTGGATCTTTGGCGTGCGCGAAGTCGTCCAACTGGTCGGTGATCAAGGCAACCTCACGGTCCTTGGCGAACTGCTCTTGCCCGCGCAGCAAAAGGTGCACGAGTACGAGATCCCGACGTCCGGCGCGACGTATGCCCGTGCGGCGGTCCAGTACATCACCGCCGTCGTCATCCTCGTTGCAGGCCTCACTGTTGCCTACATCATCACGAGCCGCGGACAGATCGAAGGCCGCAACATGTTTTCTCTTGGCAGTGTCGGCGGTGTCGTCTGGATTGGCCGGCCATTGCTCTTTCTTCGAAGCATCACGGCCATTGGGATTCTCTCGACGGGAACACTCTCGCTCGAGTTCAACGGCCGCTTCAGCTACCTCCAAGTGTCGGTGACGCCGTGGTATCAGACGCTGATTGAAGCCAACGAGCTCACGTGGCTTGCCGCCGTCGTCAACGATGTTTTCATTGCGTACACGCGCGAGTACAACCGCTACTACAATGCAATCAATATCGCGCTCGTCTGGCTCGTCGCGGGATGCGTGAGCTTGCTCGACCCCGCGCACCATGTGGCGTCGATGCAGCGCGCTGTCGACTCGTGCGAAATCGTTGAGGTTGACTTTCAGGTCGTGTGCCACAGCGCTCAGATTCAGATTGGGCAGTTTTCCCGCCTTTTGCTCTTGATTGGTATCGTGTTTGCTGTCAAGCTCTTCTGCTACGTGGCGACGCGGCTCTACATTGGCGAGCCGACGCCAGCGCGCGCCAAGTCGATCGTGCTCTACGCCGGCGCCAAGTTTTTGTTTCGCCACAAGACGTGGATTTACCACGACGTATACTACCTGGACCGCGCGTCTGCGCTCCTGAATGGTATGGTCACGCTGCGCTGGCGCGAAGCGCTGTATGTTCTCGATATCAAGACGTGGCGCGCCTTTGGCGTCGATATGGATCTCGTACCCGCCAGTGCGGGCAGACATGTACTGGGCGCGATTCCGCTCCAAAACTCGACCGACCGTAGTAGCTCGTTCGCGCCCATCGGTCCCTTGGCCAAGCCGTGAGACGATGTTAGCTCGGGTCTTTGGCTCGTGGTTTGGGGGTTCTATCACTCATCTAAAAGAGAGACGCTTCTGTATAAGTCCGTCCAGGTGCGGTCGAATCAGATACGGCATGATGAGCACATTTGAACCATCTAGGAATTCAAATATACTTTGTCCTTGGTATCGACGTCATGACGACAACTATCGCGGTTGTTGGTGAAAAGACTATTCTTCACGAGATGTAAAAGTGCGAGGGCGACGCCCTACATTACCCAAGCACTGCAGTGGAGTCCACATACCGCAATATGTGGAAGCACGGTTCGCGACGGCCACGGGCGTCGGGTGTGGTACCACACATGCGACCGCTGTCGCCAGCATCTCAAGGACGTCGGCCGGCATTGCGATTGGCAAGAGACATAGCGCGTCACGAAAGCTACCACCCGGGCAGTCTGTCGGCACGTACATGTGGGTGGCTGTCGCGGCACACGAGCCGTCCCTGACGACCTCAATGAGCGTGGGATGCATCGGCACCACGTACGTGGCGTTTCACTCAAAGCTGCAGTGATTTAGCGGTGGGTTGAGAAGCGAGCCGTTCACGCAGTCGTCCTTCGCACCAGTCGAGGTGGGGGTAGCGATCCAATCCGAGAGAGGAATTAGATATCATGGCACACAACGATAGGCCCTTCTCAGCCCGCGAGCAGTGACTGGAACGTTTGAACCGACGATAGCGGCGTGCGTGGTGTCGGGTTGAGGGCACTGTACGTCACGTTGATATCCTGGGTAGCAACGACAAAGTTCCGTCCCATTAGGTGTAGAATGTCACCGGGCCGTCCGAGCAGTTGGCTACGACACTTGTCGATGCCTTGAGCTTTACTAATTCTGTTGCGTGCGGCGCGGATTAATCTTGTTTTCGGTATTGCGATCCAATAGATCATCCAACCTCGTCCTCGTCTTGGATTCGATTCGACACAAAGTGTCATCGTCCCCTCCGTTCATGGGCCCTCGCCTTGCGCTCGAACGTTGAACGTTAAGTAAGAAGTGGATTTCACCCTATGAATGTGTTCAACATTTATTTTACACACGCGTGGAGGTACTATAACAAGGCCGAGATATTGTCATCGAGGGGGTTCGGCGCGTGGGCCATCGCCAACCGACGCTCAACTGCGCGCTGGAGCTCGTTAAAAGTCGTTGCGGGCACGGTCTCGCCTTGCACGAGCTGTTCGATCGTTGCTATCACGTCCGGGTACTCGAGAAGGATCCAGTGCAGTGCCTGCGGACTCTGCGGCGTCAAAAACTCGTGGGCGATCTCGACACTGCGACGTTTCCGTCGCACCTTGGCCGGTGCGAGCACAAGGCCATGAATCGACTCGTCGCGAATGGACTTGAAGCCTTCGACAGCTTGCCAAAAGCAGATCTCGGCTGACTTGCGCCCGAGGAGGCTGGGTGCAAGAGCGGAGGCAACTCCACCTTTCGATGGCCGGGGTAGCTCTGGCATGCTCATGCTCGACGGGATCTTGATCGCGTCCCGCCGCAGTGGTGTGGCCGTGAGGTACGTTCCCGGGTACAGCTCTGCGTACGCCGCTTGGATCGCAGAGGGCAGTGGCTTGGCCGTAAAGGCAGCCCACACTTTCGCCTTGTCGTCTTTGGTCATGGTCTCCTGCAGCAACGTCTCGGCAGCCACAGAAGGGAAGAGCGACGTCGGTGCCAAGGTCGGTGGCAGCAACTGCGATCCGCAGAGAACAACGTTGGAGAGCGTCGGGAGCACCGGTGCTGCGTCCGCCACTGGAGGACCGTTGAACGGTCGGTGCTCCCGCAGCGTCTTGACAGTGTACTTTGGTTGGTCCATCGACAAAGGTGCGCGCCCCGGGTCGTTCTCAGGGTTGTATAACAGTTCGATGCGGGCCAAGTGCGTCCGGTGTTCGTCAGCATCGCCGTTGCCCTTGTCATCCTCGTTGTTGTCATCCTCGTTGTTGTTGTTGTTGTTGCTTTGATCGGTGCTGGATGGCGCCGGAATGCAGCGTGGCGGGCTTCTTGGCGCAGGCAACGACGTCGGTGCCTGGTGAAGGGCAGCAAACGCTCGTCCGTCGAGGCTAAACGATGTCTCGAGCGCCGGCAAGTGACGTGGAACACTACGCTTCGTGCGCCACCGACGCTTCGGGTCGTGTCGCTTGACGATCGAGTCGTCCCGCTGAACCAGCTCGTGGAACAGACGCATGCGCGGCTCAGTACGTGAGCTCGAGCTCGAGAGCGGTGCTGACACGTCGAGCTCGGGTGTGCTCAGGCTGCTGCCGAGCGTCGGTCGCTCCGGACGCTCGACACTACTCGCAGGCTTTAATGGTTGTTGTTTGTGCAGCAGAGTTTGGCTAAAGAAAGCAAAACTCTCGAGGTTGGCCAAGAGATCGCTCGACGTCAGTCCAAGTTCGGCCGAAATCGAGACCCGCGGCGCCGGCGGCGTCATCGGGGGCATACCAATGCGTAGCATCAAGGGCGTGCGCGGCGGCTCCTCCTCGCCGTTGTCGTCGTCAGTGGTATTCGATCGCGCCGAGAGGGTTGGCGTTTGCTCGCCGTCGTTTAAGGCGTCTCGTGGCGTCGGCACCCTTAGAGGCAGCGACGCCGGTGCTGTCAATCTCGCCGACTCTGGACTCTTTGGTGGAGCCACCAGGGTCATTGTCGCGGTCGCTTCGACACGATCCGGTGCGACAACGTCGATCACCGCCGGTAACTCGACCTCGGGCGCCTCGGCAACCTCCTCGATGAGCGACGAGCTGTGCTTGGCCTCCAGCGACCGGCGCCGCCCCACCCTCGAGTTGCTTCGCGCCAATGTCGGGTGCGTCATGGTCTCGGTTACCTTGACGGTGTTGGTTTGAGACTCGAAGACGCGTGTTTTGAGCGCCAATGTTGCTGCCGACAAGCTCGCAATCTCTCCGTGCGACCGCCAAATGGACTCGATCGCGTCGTCGTCCACTTGGTCGGTCGCTGTCGTCTCAAGCGCCGCCGTCGAGGGACCTTTGTCGTAAAATGCGCGCGATGCAAAGTTGCCGAATGTGTATTGCATGCCTTCGATTGTGCGCGGCTCGCCTAGCAAGGCATCCGACACCGACGTTCCCAACCGAGTAGGGAGCCTATCGTTGTCGGCGTCGTAGCTCTCCGTGTCGTGCGATGACGTGGCGTCGGACGCGGCGGCGCGGGACACCATCGAGATACGCGCCTTCTGGAGCTCGAGGCGCTTGCGGTTGGGCCGCGCCTCGGCTTTCGTGCGACGTCGGAACGTCGGCGTGTTGATCAATCGCGTTTCGCGCCTCGTGCGGTCCATCCGGTCGACGTCGGTCGGTGTCGCGGTCTCGTGTGGCATGGCCGCCACCGGGCTGGCTTCAAAAAACACTTCACGCTTCTTGGCCGCGTCGGCATCTTGGCGCTCGACGTCGCTGGCGATGATGCGCCGCTCTTCCGCAAACAGCAGCATCATGCTCCGTTTGTACGCTTGCACGAGGACGGACTCGGCGATAGCGCAATTGGGGGGTACCACCCGCGTCGGCAAGTGGTGTTGCAGTGCTTCGGACACGAGCGGGCTCACGGTCGTCAACGAGGCTACGTCGTCGACGCTACTAGTGGTGACCACCGCGGTGGGGGCCAACGCGCTGGGGGGGCGGACCCTCCCCCCCACATCGTGCACAAGCAACAGCTCACACGCCGCATGGGTTTGATGCAACACGTGCAATTGCAGCAGAAGTTTCTTGGCCGTCGTCTTGATGTTGCGGCGCCCAAGGCGGTCGTCGGGACGCCGCTGCGTGATCTCATCCAGTAGCGCCCGTCGGCGGGCGTCGACGGTATGAATGGTCACACTCAATGTGTCCATGGTGGCAGTTTGGATGACGAGCATCGCGTCAAGGATGGCGAACTCGTCCTTTGTCCAAGTGCGCTGCTCGTTGAGTAGGTCCCTGTAGATGGTCTGGAGTGTTTCGAGCCGCGTCTGCGCCGTCTCTTGTTTCTTTGCTGCCGCGCGGCCGATGCGAGACCGAGAAGCGCTTCGTCGACTTGCATGCGCGTCGCAATGAGCTTCTCGACAGCGTCGCCCGACGATAGGGGTGCTTGTTTGATTGTCGTAAAGAGCGATGTGTACGCATTCTGGTACAAGGCCAGTTTCTTCTTGGCCGCTGCGGTGGCCGTACATGCTTTCTTGACGTCGCGGCTATGGTCATCGACTGCGCGGTCGAGACGCTGGAGGAGCGCTGTCTCGGTGGGGATCGCAGATTGCAACGCGATGAACGCTGGTAGCTTCTCACTGGCCTTGTCGAGCATGCGCACTTGCTGGAGCTTAAAGTAGATGCACAGCATCACGTCGAGAAGATTACTATCGACCCCTTGGAGCTCCTACGCCATTATTTGTCAATATACAAAAGCCAGTCGTCATTCACAGTACCTCGGTCACCGACCCGTAGCACTTGACACCATAGAGTGGCAAGAGCGACGCGTTGTTGCGCTCGACTTGTAGCAGCTGCGCTTCGGCGGCGCGGGCAAGGACCGCTAACTTCTCAACTTGATCGGCGATTGCGTCCAGTGGCGGACGCTTTCCAAGAAGCGGTCCGACCAAGTCCACGCGCAAGTTGTGTTCGGTGGTTCGCGCGAGGTCTCTTCCATAGGAGAACGACGAGTGGAACGCCGGCATGATCGCATGTTTCGGACACACGTCGACACAGAAATCGGGCATCTCGAAACACGGAAGCGTGCAGCTGTCGGGTAGAATCTCGCGGTCGCGCAGCAGTTGGTGGTGCATGGCCAAGTACCACTCCTGGAGCAAGCCGGGTGCGTTCGCCTCGGCTGCCTCGACGACCGGCCGCTGCAAAAGCTTGTTGGCGAGGATGTAGAGAAATGGACGGCGCCGAAGCTCGTTGGGAGGTGGGTCCCACTTTGTCGACGGCAGTGGGCGCGTCACATCCACCGTGTGCCACGTTCCGACGTCGGGGTCTCCGAACGCGCGGTCGCCGCGGCGGTACTCAATCCCAAGACGGAGCAGCAAGTGCCAGAGCACCCGGGTATCGATCATGGATGTATTGCACGCGGTTCGCGACAGCGCGTGGAACCCATAGCCCGTCGCCCGAAGATAATGACGCATCTCTGGGTCCGACACCAACGAGAGCGCACTGTCGCCGACAAGATTACGCGCAAAGGGTGACGCGCCTGCTTGCACGAGGAGGCGTAGTACATGCCGGTGCGCCGTCCATGTCATGTGCTTTGGCGGACCCTACAGTGGTCCCTTTCATGCCCTTGGACGACGACGACGACGAGAAGGCATACCTGCGCCGCGACGTGCAATGCATTGTTGCCAAGCACGGGCTCGCGCGCGGACGCCAAGCGCGGGTGCTCGAGCAGCAAGGCCTCCATCTCGGCCGCTTGCCCATTCCGAACGAGAACCTGAAACGCGTGGAGCTCCGAGAGGCCAACGTCCGAGGACGTATCGCCAAGGCTGCTGTCGAAGGCGTCCGAGAGAAACATAAACGGCAGCGCCGACTCGAGAAGTGCATCGATCGCAACGGGGTCGGCGCTGAGATGCTGATCGGCGGCGGATGTCCCTGCCAAATGCCGGCGCCACGCTGTAAAGGTCGCTTGGAGAAGCACGCGCCCATGCAAGCGCGTCGCCTCGGTCCATAGTTTGACAAGGGCTTTTCGTCGGTACACGCGGCTCGCCCAGCGATGAAAGAGATGCGCTTTGGTCTCTCGGGACGTGATGTTTGCCCAGTGGTAGAGAGCAGTGAGCGCGCGTGGGTACATGCTTGGCTGCAGCAAGCGCATGCGTCGGTCCAGCGATAACACGCTGCGTCGCGACTTTGTTTCTTTCCAGCCTTCCCACGCCTTGTGCACGCGGGCGTCCCGGGTGCGGAGCTGGATCTTGCGCTTCGGCACGCGGCAGTCGGCGCGCATCGCCGTGTACGTCTGCCACGCATACAGCGCCTTCTTGATCGACCCGCGCGTCTCGAGGTTGAGCAATGTGAGCGTACGCCACTTGGCAAAGACGATGCCGAGGTGCCGACGACTGCAGTACGCACGCGCGCGTCGGTTCTCGGCTTTTTTCGATTTGGACAAGTTGCAGTAGGCGCGCAAGAGGCGATAGTAGCGCGTCATCCACATGAGCGGGCTCCGAGCCTGGGCCTCGAGCTTGCGCAGTTGCCGGGCCTTGTACTCGGCGACCCAGAGGTCCCATTGCGCCAACGGCGTCGGAAACCGGGGCACCGGCATGCACGCGCGCTTGTGTTTTTGGAAGAGGGTATAACGGGCCCACATTTCAAACACGACTTGAACACGCTCGCCGAGCCATTTGGGCCGACGAAGGAACGCGATGCGCATCGCGCGGCGGAGAGACAGCTGCGCGTTGACGCTCGTACGTTTGTGCTGCTCGTGGTACGCCTTCCATTTCAGAAAGAGAGTATGCACAAACTGCTTGGCGACTGTCTCGCGCGCCGCGCGCATCTCGGCGCGGATCGCCGCAATGCGACCCACCGCCACCGCGTCTTTCGACTTGTCTTGGACGGCGGCAAACGCTTCGTTGACAAACACGTAGCTGTAGTCGGGCCCCTTGCGATACAAAGGCGGTGTCGTGAAATCGTCGGTCGTCGTCAAAAAGAGATTCTTGACCAGATTCGAGACGGTCGCGACCTTGGTCGAGCTTTGCTGCAGTAGCCGGAGCTCAATCATGCGCAGCTACATTATACACCATTCATCTCTGTGAGGGAGACACACACAAAAGGACCTTGAGGGCGCACTCAACTTCGTCCGCCCACTCGCGGAAGACGCGCCGACACGCATTCCGCCGGCCGAATCCCTCGAGTTGGCGTAGATGCCGCCACGCATGTAACGCGCCCGCGAGCTTGCGTCGCCGACGTTGCCGCCATTTTAGAAACTTGCGGCGACACCGGTACATGCGGAACGTGGCCTGGAGCACCCGAGCACTGGCATGGCCGCGCATCTAGCCACGTGATCTAGCGGCAATATTTTGCACAGAAAGTTCGCCTACTGCAAGGCGGTGACGCTCCAGGAAGCGATCTCGCTCGGTCTTGTCGTCGTCGGGCACGTGGATCGCATCGACGCTGTCGTAGAGGTCGACGAGTTTTCTTGAAAACACGCGGTGCACCTCGGCGGGTGGCATATTCGGCGTCGGTGGCTCGGACCCCAGCGACGTCGGCACGGCAGTGCCCGGGCTAAAGTTGAAGGCGCCAGCACTCGGCAGCGAGAATTGCACCGTGGACGCGCTCGAATAGACGTGCTCGCCACGATATGCGCGCTCCACCGCCGTGACGTGGCGCTCTAATGCCGTCACCGTGCGTGCCAGCTCGAGCAGCTGGTCCGTGTTTTGGTTGTTCTTGCTCGATGCCAATGGGATTTGGCCCGAGCCACGACGTGCCTCGGGCTGGTCGTCGGCGGGATCGCGAGCAATGTGTCCACGAATGTCATCGTCGTCGTCGTCGTCGCCGTCGTCGTCGTTAACTTTGGCACGACCGTTCAATCGAGCCACGAGCTGCTGGAGCTCGGCGGATTTGGACTGGAATATTGTGTCACGAAGGGACTCGACCTTGGCCTGCTCGGATGCGATCGTGCGCTCAATCGCAGGTGCGGGATACCACCCCATGATTCGCCGGACTTGGGCCGATGTCCGCTTCTTTCGCTGGCGCTGCTGGCGACGGCGGGCGGCCGACGTATCGGGGATCTGGAGCGCATTTACCGTCATTGCGGCGATCGAGTCGACGTCCGAGATGACACTGTGGCGCGCCGATGACAACGGTGCGTCATTGTCGGCTGCCTCGATGGGCGAGTCGCCGCTCTCGTCGTCCGATGCGAGGTCGACGTCGTCGTCGTCGTCGGGGCCGACTTGGCCAACGGCACGGCTACTCGTCGCCATCGCCGGCGGTTGTTTGAAACCGACACGAGCAACAAATACACGCACCGTCCGTCGATCTCCGAGTTGAGGTAAATCCGAGAATATCCTGATGCCGCTGCGTAATCGCCCGACACAAAAGACCCGCACGTGACGTCACCTCTTCCATCTGTCGTGCATGATCCACATTGCACCGACGACATAAATTTAACGTTTAACGCAAGCACGACGAGCCAGTGCTCTGATTGGAAGGGTTCAGATGGGGTGCTGGACGACAACACTGCCGCTTAGTTCCGAGAGCAGAGCACACGGGGATAAAAGAAGAAGAAGAATTTGCCGGCTTATTTTGTTGTCTCTGGTGCCCCGTATTTCTGTTCTCGTGACCGCATATATGTAAGAGGTACAGACCTGGAACGTGACGGTACGTACCAGATGTGCCTTCGATGGCAATGCTCTGCATGAATCGAAATACGACCTTATAGAAATCAAACAAGTGGATCGACTAGACTTGTGTAGTATTAGATGAGTAGAGTGGGAGGGTGCCGCAATCAGGACACATGCCAGCTCCGTTTACAATCGCTTCGTACGTTGCCATTTCTGTTCGCTTCGTCGTGGTGGTATTCCAGGGTTGGAATTGGATACAAAGTGCAGGACTAGGGCGTCTCTCTTTGCACTTGACAAAACGTACCGTAGATACCATGGCCGAGCCATCTCAACATATCGATCCTCGCCGCGAGCGGAAGCGACTGCGGGATCGGCGCGCCAAACAAGCCGCCCGTCAGCGACTGCTGGACGAGACAATCGCGCTCCAAGCGTCGATCGCGAGCCTCACCGCGACGCTTGTTACGAAAAAGGCGGCGGCGCCTAAAGACTGTCTCCTATCATGGCAGGAGGTGGCTACCTCGCTCCACGCTGCGACCACCAAGAGCTACAAACGAATGCACGAGCTCCGAAGTCGCTTGGCCGAGCACCATCGACTCGCGCAAGCCTTGTACGCATGGGTCGCGTCTTTGCACCGCGCACCCGTACAGCTTGAAGCAAGGAATGCCGCGAGAGGCTCAGTGAAATGTTTTGTACTAGGCGCGGTCACCGGCGCTGGCGGCGTGGCGCGACATTCAGTTGCCACGGCATCCTGATGTGCGCCGTGCAGGGTATCTCTGGCTCGCCGAATACATGCTCAAGGCGACCGACGATCAAGTTGTGGATGCGTTGTTTCCAGCGCCGCCCGAGGAACTCGTGTCGGCCAAGTGGAGCCTTATCGGGGGCCGCGTGCTGTCGCAGTTTGTACTAGATGGGTCGCTTGCCGAAGTGGCAACCGCCGCATGGTCCTTTAGCCAAGCGCTACCCACCATCTTGCATGCCACCCACGGCTGCGTCCACGTATGTACCCGTTTTCTGTCAGTTGGAAACAATTGTCCTTCTGTTCGAGTAGAATGTGTTTCATGTGCAAGAAGCCAAGCGCGAAATTTGCTACAACCACGAAGCGTTTCCGGCGGTCCAAAGCAACGGGCTCTACACGTGCTTTCTCGAGTCGGAGCGCGTCGTGATGCACTATCGGACGGTGCGCGACGATGCCCTCTACCCAGTGGACGCAAATACGAGCTTTGCCTATGACGTGCAAGAATGGTATTGGCGTGCTGCTGACAGTTTGTTCAAGAGGAAGTGCCGTCGGAACGTTCTTCGCGCCATCTCATCGACGCAGTGCGTGCTCCGCGCCGTCGATGTCTACCAACCGTACGCTTCGTACGATTCGATGGAAAGTTATGCGCGGGTCGTCTGCCCCGACGTTCTCTCCTCTGTGCAAGGCGCCAACGACGTGGAGGCAGCGCTTACGCGTCGCTTGGAGCAAATGGCAATCCGTCGTATGGCCAATATGAAGACTCGCCTGCAAAAGGTGCTGCGGCTGGTCCAAACCGACCCCACGAACTTTCCGAGTCCGTGCACTTTGCTCCCAAATGCGCAGCTAGTAGCTAGTAGCTTGAATCAGGAGGGATGAAACCGCTGTAACTGCTAAGAAACAAAAGCGCCGAAGTTGCACAAGACATAGGGAAAAGTGTGGCCCTTCTACGCGGTTGTGTTGAGCGGTTGGCGCAGGCGTCGAGTCATAAAGGCTAGAGCAATGGGAAGGTTCATGCACTTAAAGTCTACAAGTGCAGGCTAAGACCTCCTTCTGGTCTTGGAATGAGGTGGTCCTGGCCGAGTTGCGATAGTAGCCTGGTGCCAATACTTGCGCCCAAGACCGTCCTCTACGGGTGCTGTACATTTGATGAAATACAGTCATGGGCACTAGATAACAGAGACAGCTAGCTCAGTTGGGGCTCAATGATGGTCAGAGACGCGACTTATTTTTTTGGAAAAAGGTGCCAACGCCAGGCGATTCGAAGGGTATGTGTTAGCAGTATTAGTGTGGCAGAGTCAGTAGGGTGTCGGGTACGAGTCGGGCGACTCCTGGACGTTGCGCAGCATCTTGCGGACGCGTGCGTGCATGTCTCGGATGATGCGGCACGATTTATCAGCGACGAGGCGCTGCAGGTCGCTCTCGTGTGCGCCGTCGGCCAATGCGAGCACGTCCGGGTGCTCGTCTCGGACAAAGTCCTTGAACTGCGTGTAGCTCTTGAAGGGCTGGCACACGGTCGACGATCGAACAACACACTTGGTCGGCGACACGGCTCGAATGACGTTCCTAGCATCCACGCATTTGTTATGTGGTTCCAGTCCGATAGGACAATATACCATTCTTGAATGTCAATCTTGAAGCCCTTGTCGCCAACGGGAAAAGCATCGTCGTACCGGATCGTGCGGTAGTGCATCACGACGCAGTCGTCTTGGATAAAGCACGTGTAGAAACCGTTATTGGTCGCCCACGGGAACGCTTCTCGGTTGTAGCAGAGTTCGGCGCCGCGCACCTTGTGGTGGTAGATGTTCTACAGTGTAAAGTGAGGCTCGGCCTTTTACCACCCGGAAAATTACCGAGACACCTCCGCGCTGGCCGTTGAGGATCGTTGGCAGCGCTTGGCTAAAGGCCCACGCCGCCGTCGCAACCTCCATCATGGTGCCGGAAAGGAATTGCTGGGAGTAGACGCGGCCGCCTTGGACGGTGTACTGTGCGGCAACCCAGTCTTCTTGGTCCGTGGGAAAGTCGCTGTCCACGACATGCAGAGGCGTTGCGTGGAGCATCTGCTGCCCGATCCAGTGGTAGCCCACGGTGCGGAGCTCGACATCGGTCGAGAGATGGACGTCGCGCCACGCAAACACCGACTGCGCGGGGAGCTAGAAGGGCACACATGAGTCGCCTGCCGTCGATTCATCAACAAATTGACCTTGGCCGGCGTCATGGACGCTACCCACGCGTGCAAGTGGCGGGCGAGGCGGGATTGGTGCGCGAGGTGGCGGTGCAGCGCCTCCTTCTCGGCGAGGCCCTCCTCGGTCGCGGCGGCCAGTGACACGGCAATGTCCTTCCACGTGAGGAGGCAATCGCTGGACGCGCGCAACGTCCGGAGCTTCCGACCGAGGACCTCAATTTTCTCTTGCAGATTGCTGCACTCGGTGAGGTACCGAAGGCGCGCGGCGCGCTTGGCCTTTCGGTACCGAAGCCGCTTCCCGAGCTGCTGCGGCGTCAGCTCCTCGTGCCCCATCGTGATTTTTGCAAAGTGTGGTATTTGAGGTTGGGCCAAGACGATGATTCCGGGCAAAGACAGACATATGGCCGTCGACAAGCACGCAGGTGCAGAGCGCGTCCATGATCAACGATGAGTGACGTCCACGACAACACTGCGATGGTTTCGATCCATTACAACAGACAGCTTGAAACGCTTTCAACATAGGTACGGCTCTCAGCGACCGATAGTATGCACGTGGACTGCGTTGCGATGGTTGTGATGCGAATACATCCTACCGACCTTCGTCATCCGTGGCACTGCGCTTGCCAGCAGTCGCGTAACCTTTCGATTTCACCGACGTTGACCGAGCGAGACTACTCTTACTCGTTGAAGGCTCCTGCGTGAGTTAGCGTCTGCACCCACATTTCTCAGTGCCAAATCCGACGTCGTACCGCCAAGCGCAGTGCCAATGCTGGCAGCAGCGTTCGCTCAAACCCCCTGTTTCCGATCGGCCCGCGAAAGAAACCACCCACGTTCGCATATGCGAATCAATGGCTGCAACGCACCCAAGCGCGATACAGCGATGTAGCGCAAACAAGGAATCGCGCTGAATTCTACCATGTCCGACGCTGACGAGGTTGCCACTCGCCTAGCCTTGCCGCTCGTTTACCGATATACGGAGACCGCATGCGTCTCCGTCTCGATGCAACATGTTTCTGTCATGAGTTTCTTGGTCATTTACGTACAGCTCCGGACTATTATGCGGTACCTCCTTTGCCGTTTTGTCTCTGGTATTGTACGTACTTCGCAAGCTCTAAGGCAACCGAGGCTGTGGCGTGCCACGCGCCCACCTCGGGTCTCCAATCTCGATATGCAACGTATCCAGCCAAACACGGGCACCGTCCCGTAGTGATGCTGCTACCTCAAGAGGTGGGTGCGAGAAGACTCGTTCAGTACGAGCTGGCCGAGCCAGAGCACTCGACACAGAGGTGATTTTTTCAAGCGTTCGCAAATTCGAACGTCTATAAAGTTGGTGATCGATCAAGCGGCGACAATGCCGCCTGAGGTGCGACGCCCCCAGTATCACCGCTGAAACTGCGCACGTTTGACTTGCAGCGACCAGAGTGCAACTCTTGGTGGGTGTTGCGAGGGTGCTTCTCCCTGCCCGCAGATGCATCCGCAAGGGGCAAGAGATCCTTGTGTACTAGCTCCCGGGGTATGCAGCCAAAACGATGAAGAATCCATACAAGATTGATACCGGAATCGACCAAGAACAAGTCCTTCCTCAGGGCCGAGTCAAGCCACCCAACCGGTTGTACGACCGTCAGGTAGATATATATTCGAACCGACGTGCGTGGACAAGCACGGTATACTCTTCGAGCTCCGAGATGGCTGCAACTCCAAGATGGTCGTCGCGATGAAGCGACGCGGCGGACGCAATCCCAGGCACCAGCCGGTCGAAGCGCCGGCGGGATTACCACATGGCATATAAACATTGCGTCAGCAAGGCTGTATACGAAAACAACATCACGCGCCAGACGATGACGTGGCATGCCGTGGGACAGCCGCAACGGCATCCACACAAAAGCTACAGGAGGTTTGAACGAGGCGACGTTGTCCATGTGTACGATACTTCGTGTGTTTGTACATCATCGCCACGATGCTACCGTCGACGGCCCTTGGTCGACGTTTCGTGCAAGCGCAGGTGAGCGAGCACCGCGCCGCAGGTGGCAAATTCAATCCAACGCTTGGCGCGACCTTGGCAAGACAGCAAAGCCAGGAGCGTGGACACCAGATTCGTAGATAACACGGTGTACCGCATGGGACACACGGTCGGACATTTATTGTCCGACCCTCTGGTGCGATGATGCAATGACGCGGCTTCATGTTTGCCGGCGCGGGATTCCACGTTGTTCTTGATTGCTCTCCGGAAAGCCAGACGGACAGACGTCGCATTTCGAGGTCTTGGCGCCCCGAATCTTGCAACCACAACACGGGCAAAGTCACCGTGTGCATGCTGGTGTGCATGACAGCGGATCATGGAGATGGTCACGATGTTAACGTTTCTGCGATCTGCTTGGCAAAACATTCGCTTGAGACTTGTGTTCCGATCCCCCCATAGCTATGGTCACACGCAATCGATCTAGCGGTATGAGCTAGAAGTCGAATTGCTCGCGGCTCTGTGATTTGGCATGCTGGTGACGGCCTCGGTCGTTCGGGCAACTAACTACACGGCATCGTCTCTCAACACGGAGCGCGGAGCATCGATTGGCAGCGATCGCATCAACAAGAGCAGCTTTGAATACCATAACGCGCTTGTCGAGGCTCTTCTATACCCATGTGGAAGTACCTTCCGCGAGACCACTTTCTATCATGTAAGTAAAGTATACTCCCAGTAGCGTATTTCGTACTAGTACTAGACTGTGCTCAACTAAACCTGTCTATGAAGCGCGTTGCCGGAGTCTATGCACCTCACGGGTCGGCACACGGTCGCAGCAATCGGCATCTCTGAGCTTGCGCCTCGCACAAGAGCGACTCGATGCGCAAGTACCGTTCCTGTGCCAAAGTTGTCGCCTTGAGACCCAGTCGCTGCTGGAGCTCGGCCTCGAGATGCTCGCTCCTGCCTCGCCGCAGCATCGGCAAAACGTCCGGGTGCTCGAGGCTTGCGAACGCAAGCATGGACGCGTGGCGCGTGGCGGGGCGACTCAACTGCACGCTTTGAACGACGCAGTGTGTCGACGAAAGACGCGTCAGCACGATCCTATCACGGTCCTTTCAAACCACGGACTTTCACAACGAGGCTACCATTCTTGAATATAAGGGCTCGCACTTGCTGCGTTCTTTTCGTCGCAGTCGTGTAGGGTACAGTGTACCAAGGTGGTCTTGCCTTCTTGGACAAAGCATGCGTGGACATCGCGCTGGGGGGTCCGAGCCTGCTGCATCGAGTACGTCACCTCGGTCGTCGAATTCTTGGAAGTAGACACGATCTATGTTCGAGTCTCCTTTGCACCCGCTATCCCTTCGTTGTCTAGCCTGTACCGTGCGCGGACCAATCGATACGAGGGTAGTCCATGTCGCCGCCACAGCGTCGTCGAGGGACCCGGCTACGACGTGCTGGAAGGCCGTGATGCGGCCATGGACGTCCTGCGTTGTGTGCACCCAAGTCCGAGCCGGTATCGGAAAGCGTGCTTCGGACACCATATAGGCCGTTGCGTGCCGCATACGCTCGGCGAGCCACTCGAGCGCCAAGGCGCGGACAGTGCGGGGCGCCGCTGGCAGCCGTACGCGCGGCCACGTGACCAGCGTCGACGTGCCAAGGACCACCTACAGCATGTCAGTCTGACATCGGCGCACGTGATTATTCCGTGCCAATTTACCGTTTGCGGTCGAGATTGGGCCGTCACCCATGCACGTAGGAGCTCGACACGGTGTCCGTGGTCGGCCACGTGGGCCGCCAACGTTCGATTCGTCATGATGCTGTCCCGCGTTGCATCGGCGAGTGCCTTCACAATCTCCTCCCATGGCAGGAGACAACTGCGAGGTCGATGGCCCGACTGAAGCCCCGCAGCGTGCGTCTCATGGCCGCAGCGGCGTCCGTCAGCGCATTGTACTCGGCCAAGAAGCGGACGCGGGCCGCCTGTTTTGCTCGGCGGTCGCGCAGTCGCTTGCGCGCCGACAAGTCCATCGCCTCCATGAAACGATAACGCAATGATTGTGCATGTGCTATGGCTCGAGGAGTAAGTGGCACTGTCCACGCATATCGCACGGAGGAGCGAACGGAGATGGCTCGGATGTTTTGCATGAAACATTCATATTCTATGGCTCACCTACTTTTTCCAATACAATAAGCAAGGTCAAATATAGAATATATGCCTTTTCATCGCTCAGTAGGATCCAATAGCGGGTGGAGGCGCACCTGGTGCACGGTATACAAGCCGCGAGATAAGGCAAATGCAATAAGGCGCCGCACCTCGTGTTATCATGGGTAAGTCCCAATGTCCCAGACGTTGGACCAACTTGTCCAAGTCGTTGGCAGAAGGATTAGGCCATCACGTCGCGCGTGCTAATCAATACGAGTGGCTCGCTGGAGACAATTGGCGTAGACAAGCAGTCGCTGTTTACTAACTTGACCATGTCTTCGGCGTGAAACGCAACCCCTCGGATTCCGTTGGGTCTAGTTCTGAGTCAGATTTGAGCTCGGGTGTATTGGTGCTAGTGTGTTCATGGGTCGAGCTGCAACGACGATCTTAGCACCAGGCAACGTGGGACTTGAATGGCCGACTTGTATTTTTCTTTGGTTGAAAACCAGCTCGAGGACGTAGCGTTGTAGAGTTTCAAAGCCTAGTGTCGAGGGGGCAAGAATCGCCGACTCAAAGTGCTCCGTGGTCTACTTAGTATGGCCGTGGATACGCGTCTGGGTTGGCTTGAACATGGCGTAGAAGCTTGCGAAACATACCACCCATACCTTCCATCATCGAGCACGTATCGGCCACAAATCGGTTCGCTATTGCATCTTCCAATTCGTTCTCTTGTTTCGACGCCAACGACTCGGCCAAGCCCGGTGTGATCTCGTTGGCATACGAAACCATGGAGGCGTGGGTGGTGTACGGCTGGTACATGTGGGCGGATCGGATTAAGCACTTCGTCGGTGACACGCGCCGAATCACATTCCTAAAGGTAATACATATACATTACGTTG